ATTGGGGGCGGGGTGTGTGGCCTTATGACACACTTCTGGTGATGTCAGGGGGTGTGGCTTTATGACACACTTCCGGTGATGTCAGGGGGTGTGGCATATGCTAATGAGTTATGCTAATGAGTTCCCCTAGCTCTTTTTCTACGAAACGACCCCTGGTCCTTCTACAGTTCCACAGGGCCTGTAAGACAGAGCTCTTCCACCGGGCCTTCAATTAAGGAGCTGCCGCCAACAACAACTGGAAGCCCCGTCCCCTGGTTTTGCCACCTACAGCTTGTTTCTGCCAAATATATAAGGAATGATCAATGAGCTGACTATCTAGACAGGCCATCGAATGCATTCATAGGATTGCTACCGCCATCGTTAAGCAATTGTATTAATATAGATACTGCTAGCACTTTATGAGATTGAATGGTTTTATAACCTGAATTGTTTTAGACAGTTTTATGTTTGTCCCAATTGTTATTTATGTGTTTTATCTCTCCTGTAAGCCGCCCTGAGCCTGCCTTGGTTGGGAGGGCAGGATATAAATTGAACAAACAAATAAATAAATAAATATCATCATCCAGAACCAATTACAAGAAGAAGAAGAAGAAGAAGAAGAAGAAGAAGAAGAAGAAGAAGAAGAAGAAGAAGAAGAAGAAGAAGAAGAAGAAGAAGAAGAAGAAGAAGAAATTAACTGTATACCCCACGCTTCACTCAGAGCAGCTCACAAACTCCTTTCTCTTCCCCTCCCCACAACAGACACCCTGTGAGGTAGGTGGGGCTGAGAGAGCTCTGAGAGAAACTGCTCTTTTTTCAAGAACAGCTCTTATCAGAACTGTGGCTTGCCCAAGGTCATCCAGCAGCTGCAAGTGGAGGAGTGGGGAATCAAACCCGGTTCTCCTAGATTAGAGTCCACACACTTAACCACTACACCAAACTGGCTCTCAGTTTGATCACAATATTCAGAAGTAGGGAACCACCCCTTCCAGATGTCTCCAACATCAGAGGGGCAGGTGAGTTAGCCTCTTTGCTTTCTCACAGATCATGGAATGAATTGTGACTCTTCCTCCTCCCTTTCATCCATGCTCATTGAGTATAGAAGGAGAAAATTTCCACCTCAGTTACCTGCCCTGCCTCCCAATAAACAAAGTGCAGAAATCTATGCAGGCTCCAAAACAGCCGCCCAGTGTTATTGAGAGAAGCAATTCTCATAAGGGCTCAGGGCCCTGCCACACTACCTGACAACTTCTCTCCAAATGGTAGGGTTTCACCTCTGGGTTTGAAACTTCCAGGAGATTTGGGGACACAGTCTGTGAAGGGCAGGGTTTAAGGAGGTGAAGGACCTCATCAGGGAACGATGCTGTAGAGTCCACCCTCCAAAGCAGCCATTTTCTCCAGGGGAACTGACCTCTAGTGTCTGTACATCAGCTGTAATATCAGAAGATCTCCAGGCCCTGCCTGGAGGTTGGCAACCCTATGAATTGACAATGTGCCCTTTTTGGCTCTGGTATGGTGGTTTTCCTGCCTACCTTCTGGTGCTGTTACCTTCAAATTGGCCCAACCCCATTCCAAGTTGGTGCTGAATGGAGATGATTAGCTTGGTACCCTTGGGACAAGAAATTTGTTTCTACTGAGTCTTATTGAGTTCTGTTTAACCCAATGTTCTGAGTTTGAATGTCAGCAGGACTCCAAAGCCCCATCCTCTCTTATCTAAGATACTTCAAGCGGACATACTAGTTACCTCATACATGAAAAGCAGGAGAGGAGGGGCCAGTAGCTCAGAGAATCTGGTTGGCATGCAGAAGGTCCCTGGTTCAGTCCCCATCATTTCCAGTTAAAATGTCCAGGTGATGTGAAAGACTTCTACCTGAGACCTTGGAGAGCCCCGGCCAGTCTGAGTAGATAATACTGACTCTGAGGGACCAATGGTCTGACTCAGTATAAGGCAGCTTCATGTGTTCATGAATACTATCTCTCCTTATATATAATTGAATAGTGGGTGCCAAAGTTCTAATTCTAAAATGCACTCCCTTAGTGTATGGCTGATGGCACTGCTCCTCAGCATATATCGCCACCAATCAGAAGGCAAAGCCCGGGTCCCGCCCACACCACAACTGCTGCGACAACCTGGTCTTTTGCATATGGAAGCTGATTGGACTTCACTCCATTCCACACCTCAAACTCCCCCCCCCCCGCAAGGCAGTTGGAATGTCAGTTGCATATGGAACCTGCTGTATTCTGGTGGTGTGCAGGTCCCAGGTTCATGTTTTAAAAGCAGACTGACACTGTTTGCCCCAAACCAGAGCACTCTCCCAGAGCCTCTTTCTAGCTCTCGTTGTATTTATTTCCACAACGGGCCTTATTTCTAGTCCCCGATATATACGGTAATTCCACAACATTAAGAGGTCCTCTTCCAGCCAATTTGTGAAGACCTCTACAGTGATAACCAACATAACTTGGCTTCTGCATCTGCCTGACTATTCTCCATATTAGAAGGCTTGACAGTGTGTTGATTTTTCCCCCGTTTGAGATGTAAAAGGCTGCAGATTTCAGCAAGATAATTTAAAAAGTGCCTCTGCTCCACAAAAATTGCTCTGATTCCCTTGGCATTTTTTTAACTGGATCATTAATATTTGTTGTTTGTTATTTCAGCCTCTTGGGTCTTCAACACTGAACGTAGCAATATGAGGGAAATGTACCTGAACTTGGGGGTCGGAGGAATCCATACAGGGTAGATTGCCAAGCCCTTGATTCTGATTTGATTTGATTGATTTGATTTATATCTCGCCCTCTGTTTCCATAACACAGCTTTTCCATTCACTTTGCAATTTCTTGACAAATGAGAACAACAGGAGAGTATTTAATGTTTTAAAATGTTTATTTAATCTTCCCTCCCAGGAGTTGAGAACAGTGCTGCAGAGCCCAGTCTATCTCTGTTCAGTCTGAAATAAGTCCCACTGAGTTCAGTGACCCTTACTCCCAAGTAACTGAGCATACCACCGCAACCATAGTCAGATAAGAACCACCAGGGCTCTTTTTGTAGAAAAAGCCCAGCAGGAACTCATTAGCATAATAGGCCACACCCAACAGCAGAAACTCATTAGCACATTAGGCCACACCCCCTGACAGCAAAGCTCATTAGCACATTAGGGCACACCCCCATGTTACCAGAAGTGTGGTTACCCAGCCACACCCACCTTTTGCTTGTTATTCTGTTTACCTTGTTTGTTGTCAAAACCCAGGGCTTTTTTTTGTAGCAGGAACTCCTTTGCATGTTAGGCCACACACCCCTAATGTAGCCAATCCGAATGAGTTTCTGCTGTTGGGTATGGCCTATTATGCTAATGAGCTCCTGCTGGGCGTGGCCAACTTGGGAGCCAGCCGGAAGTCCGTTCCTGTGCAACATTCCTGCCCAAAAATAACCCTGAAAACCACACAAGAATTCCATGGATGGAGGAAATGTTAGTTCAGAGGAAAATCATTCCTCCTTCCCATGCAACCCTTCAAGTGGCTTTCCCACCTCCGTTTGTTGAAAACCAGGAGAACCAGATATGGATCATGATGTACCCTATCCAGCTGGACCCTTTATCTTGATGGATAAACAAGAGCAGTGCCACTGTAACAACTTGCAGTAAACATTTAAATAAATCTAATCGAGCACAACCATAAATCATTTTAAAGTCTGTTTATATATAATGTGATTTTTTAAATATATAGCAAATAACAGAATCGTGTAACAAATCAAATATTTATATCCGCAAACATCAGTGTAGAACATTCCAGACAAGATGGGTTCCAATGACAAAATCAAAAAGAAGAAGAAGAAGAGAAGAGATTGGATTTATATCCCGCCCTTCACCTGGAGTCTCAGAGTGGCTTACAAACTCCTTTCCCTTCCCCTCCCAACAACAGACACCCTGTGAGGCAGGTGGGGCTGAGAGAGCTCTTTCAAGAACTGCCCTTTCAAGGACAGCTGTCAGAACTATGGCTTGCCCAAGGTCATGCAGCCAGGTGCAAGTGGAGGAGTGGGAAATCAAACCCAGTTCTCCCAGATTACAGTCTGTACACTTAACCACTACACCAAACTGACTCTCTTTTATTCTTTTAGCACAAATTGTTACAGTGGTACTGTTCTTGTTTATACATTTGTATTATACATGGTAATCCTCCTAGTGGGTGAACCCTTTATCTCTACATTTCCTTGTTTCTCCAGTAAAAAAGACTGCGGATCTTTTCTTTTTATTGATCGCCATAATGATGAGAGCTAGAAACTTGCTTGTTTTCAGTAATCTGTTTAGATACTCAGAATGCCCAGTTCTCCACCGATTGAAAGATACTGCTGTTGTGGAACAGATATACACTGAGCCCTCCAACCCTATAGTTGCAAGACAAAACCTTGGAAGTGGAATTTAAATTTCTTGTGTTACTTTTCACTGTACCTTGCTTGTTGCAAAATAATAAGTCTGGTTCCGTGCGCCTTGGTGTTTAGTCATGCCGGCCACATGACCACGGAAACGTCTTCGGACAGCGCTGGCTCTTCGGCTTTGAAACGGAGATGAGCACCGCAACCCTAGAGTCGGATTCGACTGGCTTTCGAGCAAGGGAACCTTTACCTTTACCTTTACCATAACTGAAGGCCTGATCACACACACAAAACCTCTTCACTGCCTACATCATCCTTCCACCTGATTGTCACAACAGGCTTCCACAACACTCCATTCTGTTGCTAATATTTATTTACTACAGAGACTTGGGCTGTGGTCACACACACTAAATAACCCACTGTCAATCAACTTTCAGTCTACTTTCCAACTGGATTTTGCCAGTTCGAAGCAGTGAAATCCAGTTGGAAAGTGCACTGAAAGTGGATTGAAAGTGGATTATTTAGCGTGTGTGACCTCAGCCTTTGTCTCCTGCATCCAAACGCAACACTACGATCACTCAAGCTAAGCAACCATAGTTGGCAACTGGCAACTGTAGTGCAATACAGGGAAACCCTTTTAGGAAGATGTCAATACTCAGATTTTCGGCTCTAAATGATGTCTTCGCAGCACTTTGGCCGCTGCCCCGTGGACATCCTTGTTCCGCAGGGTATAAATGACAGGGTTGAGCAGAGGGGTGACCACCGTGTAAAACACAGCAATCCGTTTATCATGATTGGAAGGGGGGTTTGACCGGGGAATTAAGTACATAGAAATGACAGTGCCATAGAACACAGTCACAACAACAAGGTGGGAAGCACACGTGGAGAAGGCTTTGCGCTGACTGGTGGTTGATCGCATTTTTACCACCGAAAACAGTATGAACCCGTAGGAAGTCAGGACGACAAAGACAGGAATCACAAGGACAACAGCCGCCATGATGAAAACAATGGCCTGTGAAACACGAGTGTCATCACAGGCGAGTTTCAGCACCACCGGCATCTCACATATGAAGTGGTTGATGTGGTTAGAGCCGCAGTAGGAGTGGCGAAAAGTCACGCACACATATATCATGCTAAAAAGGATGCCCGCTGTCCAACAAGCACAGGCAAGTTGCCACTGGCGATACTTGCTCATGGCGACGGCATACGTCAGGGGATGGAAGATGGCCAAAAACCGGTCATAGGCCATGACGCCCAGCAGAAAGCATTCTGCAGTGCCCATGATCAATACAGCAAACACCTGGAGTGCACAGCCAGTGAAGGATATGATTCCATTCCCTGCCAGGAGGTGAGCCATCATCTGTGGCTCCGTGCTGGTAGCATAGCAGATCTCTATGGTTGATAGGTTCATGAGGAAGAAGTACATGGGCGTATGGAGGCGAGAGTCAGACTGGACGAGCAAGATGACCGCAGCATTCCCCGCTACGGTGAGTAAATATGTCAGAAGGATGACCCCAAAGAGTAGAAACTGTGTCTTGCGGTGGTTGGACAATCCCTCCAAGACGAACTCTGTGGCAGAGGTGGAATTCTCAGCCCCCATCATGTTATCCTGTCTGCAAAGAGAGGGCAACTGTAACACAAGAAGAAGAAGAGGAAGAAGAGGAGGAGGAGGAGGAGATTGAGATTGGATTTATACCCCGCCCTTCACTACCCAAAGGTGTCTCAGAGTGGCTTACAAACTCCTTTCCCTTCCCCTCCCCACAACAGACACCCTGTGAGATAGAAGAAGAAGAAGAGATTGGATTTATCCCCCGCCCTTCACTACCCAAAAGAGTCTCAGAGCGGCTTACAAACTCCTTTCCCTTCCCCTCCTCACAACAGACACCCTGTGAGGTAGAAGAAGAAGAGATTGGATATATACCCCGCCCTTCACTACCCAAAGGTGTCTCAGAGCGGCTTACAAACTCCTTTCCCTTCCCCTCCCCACAACAGACACTCTGTGAGGTAGGCGGGGCTGAGAGAGCTCTTGACAGAAACGGCTCTTTTTCAAGGACAGCTCTTATCAGAGCTACGGCTTGCCCAAGGCCATCCAGCCAGGTGCAAGTGGAGGAGTGGGAAATCAAACCTGGTTCTCCCAGATTAGAGTCCGCACACTTAACCACTACACCAAACTGGCACCAAACATGGTTATAATGCTTTTGGAGTTTTTTTTGCAAAGAACAATCCTAAAACAAATGATCCTTTCCTCTATGAAATAATGAAGCATCAAGGCATCAAATGCAAGCCAAGGCATCAAAATCAGTCAACTTCAAATGCTTTATGGAAGCAATTGCAAGATATTCTGCTTCAGTCATGAGTGTTCATTCATCTGAATAGACCACTTATGGTGATCCACTTTAACATTTCTTCACGTTATGCTCCATTACCCTTGAGAAGTTCTGCACTTTGACTCTGTGTAGTGGTCCCATTACACCATGGTCAGCATTAGTAGTGGGTCATTGTTTCAACCATGGATGAGATTCTCTATATAAAGGGCAGCCATAGTTTGACTGAACCAGGTCGCCTGAAGCCCTACTGGGAAGATTACAGCAAGAAGTATCAGGAAAACATCTGAGAATCATGACAGGCAACTGCCAGTCCAAATAGACAAAACTGAAATTGATGGACCAACGGTCTGATTCGGTATAAGGTAGTTGCATGTGTTTCTACTATGTTTCTCAAAACAACCTTGATTAGAACAAAAATAGCTCCAACCCCAGAATTCTGAACTGCTATTTTCCATACCTCTTTTGGCAGCACAACATCCAACTTGCTTCAACCCCCTGTAAGGAAAAAGTATGGGTCCAGTCCCAATGAGCATTATTAAGAGGAATTTTCTTCGTTTCTTTTATCTAGTTTCTCCCTAAGAACATAAGAACATAAGAGACGCCTCTTTCTTTACCTGTTCTTTCCCATGCATAATCTTATAAACCTCGATCATGTCACCCCTCAGTCATCTTTTCTCCAAGCTAAAGAGCCCTAAGCACTTTAACCTTTCCTCATAGGGAAAGTGTTCCAACCCTTTGATCATTCGAGTTGCCCTTTTCTGCACTTTTTCCAAAGCTATAATATCCTTTTTAAGGTGTGGTGCCCAGAACTGCACACAGTATTCCAAATGAGGTCTCACCATTGATTTATATAGGGGCATTATTATATTGGCTGATCTGTTTTCAATACCCTTCCTAATAATCCCCAGCATAGCATTGGCCTTCTTTATTGCAGTCACACACTGTCTCGACATTTTCAGTGAGTTATCCACTACAACTCCAAGATCTCTCTCTTGCTCAGTCTCTGCCAGTTCAGACCCCATCAATGTGTATTTATATTTAGGATTTTTGGCTCCAATGTGCATCACCTTGCACTTGGCCACATTGAACCCCATTTGCCATGTTGATGCCCGCTCGCCCATCCTTGACAGATCCCCTTGGAGTGCCTCACAATCCTCACTGGTTTTCACCACCCTGAACAACTTTGTATCATCCGCAAATTTAGCCACTTCACTGCTTACTCCCATCTCCAAATCATTAATGAACAAGTTAAAAAGCAGTGGACCAAGTACTGATCCCTGCGGTACCCCACTGCTTACCACCCTCCACTGAGAAAATTGCCCACCTACACTCACTCTCTGTTTTCTATGAACTAGCCAGTTTTTGATCCATAAAAGGACTTGTCCTTCTATCCCATGATTTTTGAGCTTACTTAGGAGCCTTTGATGAGGAACTTTATCAAAAGCTTTCTGGAAGTCAAGGTAAATAATATCTATTGGATCCCCCTTGTCCACATGTTTGTTCACCCCCTCAAAGAACACTAACAGGTTAGTGAGACAAGATCTTCCCTTACAGAAACCGTGCTGAGTCTGCCTCAATAGGTTTTGTTCATCTATGTGCCTACTAATTCTTTCCTTAATAATGGTTTCCACCAATTTACCCGGTATCGACGTCAGACTGACTGGCCTGTAATTTCCCGGATCTCCTCTGGAACCCTTTTTAAAGATGGGAGTGACATTAGCTACCTTCCAATCCTCAGGAATGGAGGCAGATTTTAAGGAAAGATTACATATCTTTGTCAGGAGATCTACAAGTTCACATTTGAGTTCTTTCAGAACTCTCGGATGTATGCCATCTGGGCCTGGTGATTTTTCAGTTTTTAAGTTGTCTATCAGTTTTAGGACCTCCTCTCTCATCACCTCAATCTGACTCAGGTCTTCCAACACCCCTCCTGAAATCAGTGGTTCTGGAGTGGGCAAGCACTTCTCATCTTCCACAGTGAAGACGGAGGCAAAAAATGCATTTAGCTTCTCAGCCATTTCCCTATCATCCTTCAATACTCCTTTTACCCCTTGGTCGTCCAAGGGCCCCACTGCCTCCCTGGCTGGTTTCCTGTTTCTAATGTATTTGAAGAAAGTTTTATTGTTGGTTTTTACGTTTTTTGCTATATGCTCCTCATATTCCCTTTTTGCCTGCCTGACCTCAGACTTGCATTTTATTTGCCATAGCCTGTGTTCCGTTTTATCAGCCTCACTGTGACTAGCTTTCCACTGCTTAAAGGAATTCTTTTTACTTTTTACAGCCTCCATTACTCTGTTTGTTAACCATGCAGGCTTTTTCCTATACCTGTTTGTGCCTTTCCTAACCTGCGGAATATATATTTTTTGAGCTTCTAGGATCGTAGTTTTAAATAGATCCCAAGCTTCCCCAATTGTTTTGACCCTTTCTACTTTTCCTTTCAGTTTCCTCCCCACGTGTCCCCTCATATCAGAGAAATTACCCCTTTTAAAGTTAAAAATGGTTGTGTGAGTCTTTTTGGCCAATTCTCTATTTGTACAAATGATGAACTCAACAACATTATGATCACTGTTTCCAAGCGGTGCAATCACTTTTACATCTCTCACCAGGTCTTGAGTGTTACTTAGGACCAAATCAAGGATCGCCTCTCCCCTGGTAGGTTCCGTGACCATCTGCTCCATAGCACAGTCATTTAGAGTGTCTAGAAACTCAATCTCTTTTTCCCGACTAGAACACATATTGACCCAATCAATGTGTGGGTAGTTAAAATCACCTATTATTACACAGTGTTTTTGTCTAGTTGCTATCTTTAAGGCATTCATCATTTTATAATCCTCCTCTATCTTTTGATCTGGTGGGCGATAACAAACTCCCAGTGTTAAGTTTCCTTTTGGCCCCCCTATTTCAACCCATAGAACTTCCAGAAGCGAATCCAATTCACTTAGCCTCTCAATCTTTCTAGACTTTATACCCTCTCTGACATACAGAGCTACCCCACCTCCAACCCTTCCCCCCCTATCCTTCCGATATAATATATAACCGGGAATCACTGTGTCCCACTGATTTTCCTCATCCCACCAAGTTTCAGAAATACCCACAATGTCTATTTTTCCCTCCGACACCAAGCACTCCAACTCCCCGATTTTACCTCGGACACTTCTAGCATTTGTATAGAAACAGCTGTAATTTCCCTTACAAGTTAAGCCTGCATCCTTCCTCTTGCTATCTCGAGTCGTTGTCCGGCAGTCCATGTCACCAGATGACAGAGAATCACTTGCCCCAGAGTCCCTATCTATACCTTGTGGCTAATAGCCACCGATGGAACTCTGCTCCAGATGCTTATCTAATTCCCTTTTGAAGCCATCCATGCTTGTAGCACCCACCACTTCCTGTGGCAGTGAATTCCAAGTGTTAATCACTCTTTGGGTGAAAAAGTACTTCCTCTCATCTGTTCTAACCCGACCGCTCAGCAATTTCATGGAGTGCCCACGAGTTCTTGTATTGTGAGAAAGGGAGAAAAGTACCTCTTTCTCTACCTGCTCTTTCCCATGCATAATCTTATAAACCTCAATCATGTCACCCCTCAGTCATCATTTCTCCAAGCTAAAGAGCCCTAAGCGCCTTAACCTTTCCTCATAGGGAAAGTGTTCCAACTTTCATTCGAGTTGCCCTTTTCTGCACTTTTTCCAAAGCTATAATATCCTTTTTGAGGTGTGGTGACCAGAATTGCACACAGTATTCCAAATGAGGTCTCACCATTGATTTATATAGGGGCATTATGATATTGGCTGATCTGTTTTCAATACCCTTCCTAATAATCCCCAGCATAGCATTGGCCTTCTTTATTGCAGTCACACACGGTCTCGACATTTTCAGTGAGTTATCTACTACAACTCCAAGATCTCTCTCTTGATCAGTCTCTGCCAGTTCAGACCTCATCAACGTGTCTCTGCCAGTTCAGACCCCATCATGCTGACTTTGGCTAGATTTGAGCCCTTAGTTATGTGGGCTGAAGTCCATTTATTTAAAAAAATAGTTGTGCGTTTACCCAATTAATAAATGAACGAAAGCAGACCCAAAGTCACAAGTCTATGGTGAGGAGGAAATTACGGAGTGTCAAAGTCACAAGTAAGAGAGAGTGCTGTGCAGTGGTTAGGACTGGATAAAGGCTACGGTCACAGTTATGGAGTTCCTTGATTGACCTTAGGGCACCCACTTCTCTCTGCCTGACTTAGCACATGGGGTTTGCTGTGATGATAACAGTGGGGAAGTGAAAACC